ACTCCTCGCGGGCGCGGCCCCCAGCAGGCCACAGCGCGATGGCTGCAGAATGTAGATGCTAGAACCCACGGAGACCGGCCTGGAACTGGGAAGCAAACCTCCCTGCCCCGTGGGGTGTGGAGAACCCGTCCTGCCCCAGGCTCTCCCGGGCCTGGATAAAAGCTGAGGCTGGGGGTGCAGAGCAATGGAGGCCTTCATCCCAGCTCTACCACTCCCTGGCTGTGCAACCCTGGAAAAAGTGACTGCACCGCTCTGAGCCTCACTTTCCGCGTGTGTAAAAGGGGGCACCTCTGGGTGGTGATAAGGGTTGAAGGGGATGATGCAGGCAAAGAATGCAGCGCAGTACGTGCCAGCTCTCCTGGTTGCCATGCCTGTGCTCCTCCTCTGTGCTGGAACCATCTAACCGTCTAACCCTCCCGTTACAGATATGAAGAAATTCAGGCTCGGGGTCGGGAAACCAGAGCCAGCACATGCACCACTGGCCTTTCTCCCCCGGCCCCCGGTTACACTGAGAAAGGCTCTCAACATCTGATCTGGGTGGAAAATAGGTTTCCAACTGATTAGTTCTGCGGCCGGGGGCGCCCGCTGGAGGATGCCGTGATGGATTAGCCATGTCTGCACGGGTGAGGGCATGGCTGCCAGCCGCATAACCGGCACAAATTTACCTAAATAACGGATTCCGAATCTGATTTTCCCTGGAAACAATGTCCTCTGAAAGCACTGTGTTCTATCTAAAGACTTGATGCCCAATGTCTTACTGAATCCACCACGAGCAGAGGGTTTGCTCAGACACACAAGGGCCCCGCTCACCTTTTGGGCACAGAAAATGAGGATGACGGCCGTCCTGCGCCGCTTTGTCTAGTCTGCCCGCTCCGCCCTCACATGTTCCCTCTGCAGCTGCTCTGGTCTTCGTTGCCATCCCGGGACGTGGGGATGGCCACCCTTTTTGTCAACTGGGGAAACCGGGACTCAGAGAGGTTAAGAAACTGGCCCGCCCTCGTCAGTTTTTCTCAGCGGTTAGAGTGTCGGCCCTTGGACTGAAGGGTCACGGGTTCGATTCCGGTCAAGGGCATGGGCCTCAGGGGCAGGCTGAATCCCTAGCCCCGGTTGGGGTGCGTGTGGGAGGCAACCAACCGGTGTGTCTCTCTCACATTGATGTTTCTCTCTCTCTGTCTCTCCCCCTCGCACCTCCCCCCCCCCTTCACTCTCTCTAAACATCAATGGGGGGAAATATCCTCGGGTGAAGATTAACAAAACAAAAACAAAAGAAGAAACTGGCCCATGGCCACACAGCAAAGCAGAGGCAGAACCAGCCCCTGGGTCTGCCTGACTCGGGTCCACACACCAAGCCACTCCCCCAGGAGTCCAACAGGGCAACCAAGCCTCCGACATCTCAGACCCAGAGACCCCCCAGCGGCAGCCCCAGCTGCGGACGCCTGCGCCAGGCCGGCAGGCAGACAGCACTGCTGCCATGCGGGTGAGCGGCCGGCTCCCCGCGCCAGCCCAGGGTTCTCCGGTGAGTCAGGTGGTGACTCAGGTCTGGCCTGGCTGGCTGAGGAGCTGAGTCAGGGAGCACCGAGCCTTCAAGGGCCGCTGGCTCCGAGCCAGGGCCCCTCAGCACCAGGGACCGCGTGCGGAGGACAGCCTGTCTGGGGCCGACCTCCCACGCTGCCCCGGGCCTGCTGGGCTGACCCTGCGCCTCCCACCCGAGTTCCTCGGGGCCCTCGATGGGGAGCAGACTCCTGCAGACTCTGGGGAGGGGAAGGGTCATTCCTGGTTGTCACAGTGATGGACGAGCACTGCCTACTATTATCACCACACGTCCTGTCAGGGACAGGCAGCCAGGACCACAGAGCAGGAGCACAGCCCAAATGCCAACAGTGCCCACTGAGGGGCACCGGTCAGCACTGCCCCTCCCTGAGCTCCCTCGCAGGGAGGAGTCCCAGAGCCCTCAGCATCTGATCAAAGACACTCACACACACACACCCCCAAGCCCCCTAAAACCCAGCCTGAGCACCCCACAGTCGAGTCTCTGCTGCAGGAGCCCCTGTGGACACCAACATCTGCTGGTAGACACCCCCCTTGGCCTCTCTCCCACGGACCCACTCGGGCTGTGAAATCTCAGCATCGCGTTCACAGGGCCCAGAAACACGGGTCCTCCAGCTCCCAAACAAGCACCGTGGCCGCCGGACACGTATTTGAAACTGAACTTCACAGTTTGGGGCTCACAGAAGCCTAGAATGTTGGTGTCACTGAACTTTAAGTGTGAGCCTTAGACTCAGTCGCAGAGTCTGGAATCTGAGTCATCAGCTCTCTGGTCCAGAAGATGGCTCAGCGGTTAGGTGGCCACTTCAAGCCGAGACCTCCATCCCTCGCGCCAGCCTCGGCAGCCTCTGGCTGTGGGCCCGGGGGAGCCCGAAGGTGCTCTGAGCAGGTCCCTGTGCTGGGGTGTCTTCCTAAAGAGGGGCCCACAGCTCTGCACCCCACCCACTCCAGCAGAGACCCTCAGGGTTCCCAGCGGGGGGGTTCCAGGGCCCATCATCACCTCAACTCCCAACTCAGCAGGGAGGCCAGCAGACGTGGGCTCAGCATGTGCCTCCCCCAGCCTTTCTGGGGTTAGCCTCATCACCCCCGCCTGCACCCAGGCACCCCAGGCATCTAGGACGGGGCTCAGGCCCCATGCTGTGAGGCCTCAAGCACCAGTAAGGACTCTGTCCTGCTTGGTGGACCCCAAAAACCATAAGGCCACCAAGCCTGGGTCCCAAAGCCTCCTCCTCAGCAGCCCCCAGCCGCAGGCTCACCTCTGCTATCCATCCTCATATCACGGCTCAGTGGTCCTTCTAAAGCAGGTCTCACCACATCGCCTCCCTGCTTTAAACTTCGCCGGGTCTCCACGGCCCTCAGGACGCAGGCCAGCTCCTCACTCAGCGCAGGGAGCCTGCATCTCCCACTGCCCCGCCAGCCTCACCTCCCCTCTCTGCCCCTCACTCACCCATCCCAGCCACACCAACTGCCCTCAGTCCCTCTCCTCCCCAGGCCTTCGCTCCTGCGGTACCCCTGTCCCCACTGCCCTCTCACCTAACACCACGCATTACTGGAGGCTCAGCTCAGACACTGCCGATGTCTGCCCAGCGAACACCGAAGGAGCACCGTGGCTGTGCCTTGTGCTGGGCGCTGGGGTCCAGCAGTGAACATGACAAGCTCAGTCTGTGTCCTGGTTACATGGTGGCACCCCCGGAGGAGGCCAAGGTTAGGTGCAGGTAGTGACAACCAAGAGAGTGGCTGAGGGGAAATCCCAGAGGGCTGCCCTGAGGCGGTGACACCAGCTGTGATTTGAAGGATGCAACAAAGGACTTGCCCAGGTGAAGAGAGAAGGGAAGGTCGTTTCAGACAAAGGGAAGAGCATGTGAGAGGGCTCTGAACCCTAGAAGAGCACAGAGGACGCAGCGTGGAGAGGCTGGTGAGGGGCACACAGGGTCCGGTGGGCTGGGTCAGGACTTGGCTGAGGGCAGCGGGAAATGGTTTCGGGTCTGAAGCAGGGGGGTGACATGAGCAGACGAGAGGCAACAGTGAAGGCAGGCAGATTCGTGAGGGGCTGCTTGCCGCTGCCTCGGGCCCCAAACAGATGCCTGGGGCCCATGCCCATGGGTCCCCGTTTCAGCTCTCATCACACCAGTGGTCACCATCCATCAGATGGTTCAGTCACTGGGAGCTGCTAGGCCATGGGCCAGGGTCTGACTTAACTCCGTCCTCAGTTCCAGTGCAGAGCTGGGGTTCACCCCTGAGGGCTTCCCGGGCCAGCCGGCCACTGGCAGTCAGCAACTTCTAGAATGTCCCCATCAGCAGGTCCTCATCAGTCCGACCTCCATGCCCGACGCCTCCCCAGACCCACCACTGAGCTCTCTCCCCACCAACCAGGCCTAGTGCCCTCAGGCCTCCCAACCAGGGCAGGCATGGCCAGCGGGCTCATCAGGGAACAGGGGGGCCCAGGCAGGGCCCCGACAAGCCCAGGCCGCTCGAAGGATATGGGTTACACACCATCTTGATACACCAGTTCCGGGGGCTGGTGGTCTGTCGCAGACAGAAGAAGGCAACAGGCGCCAGGTCCGGGTGAGGGACGTCTGCGTTGGCTCCATCCTGGGGCTCCTCCAGGCCTGGAGGGGAGGGCGGGGGGCTCCGGGGCCCCGGCTGCTCTGTGACTCCCGGCTCAGGGGCCAGGGCCACAGCAGAAGAGGGCGGCGAGCAGCTCTCAGCCATGTCAGCGCCAAGCAGGGAGCCTGGGGGAGAACAAGAAGTGACTGGGACACGCTCCCCAACCAGCCTCCCCAAAAGGCGGCTGACTGCCCAGCCTCAGGCTGCAGGCCCCCAACCTCGCCCCCTGGGCCCTCAGTTCTTTCCTAACCCCTGGCCATGAGGGAGGAACGAACTGCGGGCCCAGATGCCTCCGAGTGGGAATCCACTTCCAGGCTGGGTGGTCCAGGGCAAGTCCGGTCAACCTCAGTTTGAGGAGATGAAGAGTGGGGGGAGCAAAACCTTAGATTGTGCCATAGCTGGTGTGGCTCAGTGGATAGAGCGTCGGCCTGTGGACCGAAGGGTCCTGGATTCCATTCCGGTCGAGGGCATGTACCTCAGTTGCAGGCTCCTCCCCGGCCCAGCCTGGGCTCCTGCAGGAGGCAACCAATCGATGTGTTTCTCTCACATCAGTATGACTCTCTGTCATTCCTTCTCTCTTCCACTCCCTCTAAAAATCAATGGAAAAATATCCTCAGGTGAGGTTTAAAAATAATAATTTTTAAAAAACTTAGATTGCAGTTGTGATATTAGTTGTGTATTTTTTTTTATGAGACTAGAGTTGTGTATTCATTGCATCATCAAAGGTAAGGAAAATCCGCAAGAAAAAAGGGAAAGTTACTGTAAAGACAGACATTATTGCCAGGATGACACGTGTTACAAAGGAGAAGTTGGGGTGCTGTGGGGCCAGAAACCGGGGGGCCTGGGCAAGCAGAGAGGAACTCAGGGCAGGCTCCCCCGGGGACAGCTGAGCTGAGCCCTGCATTGGAGCCCAGGGTCCCACCACCACGGCCTCACAGAGCTGAGAACCCAGAGACCTTATGCACCAACCTCTGGTTTACAGATGGAGAAACTGAGGCCCAGAGAAGGGACAGAACAGATAACACAACCAGGTGACAGCAGAGACAGGACTCCCTCGGGGCCAGCTTCCAGGGTGTCCGACCTGTGCGGTGCCCAGGGCCCCACGCTCAGAGGGCCTACGCTTGCTTTAATGCTCTGCTGTCACCAACCTGAAACTTAATAACTTTTGATCTGGGCCCTGCAAATCGTACAGCCGGTCCTGACTCCACCTCCGGGTGCTTGCACATCCTGGTCTTGTCCGAGGCTCACAACAACCCCAGCAGGGATATTGTGCCCATTTAGCAGACAGAGAAACTGAGGCCCCGAGAAGGGCGCACCATGCCAAGTCCACACACTGGGGCGTGTTTAGAGGCCAGATTCCCAGCACCAGCCCTCCAGACGCAGCGATGACTGACCATGCCTCGCTTGCCCCCCTCCTACCGCTGGACAATGCCCCTCACCATCGCCTCCAAGAGGCTACCAATCCCTGAGTCTTTATCCACGGGGTTCTCCTGAACCCCAGAACCCTGCCAGTGCCAGGCTGGGCAGTGGGAGTTGGAAATGAGGCCCAAATGCCTCGCGCCCACCCGGCTGCCACCCGTGGCTGCTGAGCCGTCCGCTGAGCTGCCCAGAGCTGATGCATTTGGACATTTCCCTGGCTCCCGGGGACAACAGGCGGGAGTTGGCACCGCCTGTCACTTCGCCCGGTTGGTCAGGGAGGCACCGTTTCCTCTCAAGCTTAAGGCTTTGCTCTTGGTTCCAGAAAAACAACCACAGGCCTTACATAAGCTCCCAGGCACCTCGGCCGCCACGTGCCAACCCCTGGGCTGAACACTTCCTCCCTGGGGTGGCTCCAGGTCTGCCCACACTGTGCCAGCCTCAGAGTCCACAGGTCCCTCTCTCCAGCCAAACGCACCTCCTCCGGTCCCGGAGCGCTGGCGGCCTCCTCCGGGCCTCTCCCTGGAGCACTTGCTCCTTCCTCTCCCGTGCCCTGTTCGCCCAGGCCCTGGAGATTCATTCATTTGTCCAACAATATTTCCTGAGCACCTACTATGTGCAGAGGCTGTGCAAGCTACGCTGGTGAATGAGCCAGACTTGGCACCAGCCCTCATCCACAATGCCAGCACTCCAGCAAGGGAAAGACACGAGTCAATTAATCTCTCTCCCCGGGTTTCCATCGCTCTTATCACTACCAAGCACACCGTCTCATTTATGTATTTCCATCTTTATGATTTAGTGTCTGTCTCCTCACCTGAAAGAAGGCTGTAAGGCAGCAGGGACTCTGGTCTGTTTAGTTCACTGCTGTGTCCCCCCCAGTGCCTGGAACAGTGCCTGGAACGTACTAGGTGCTCAATAAATATTTGTTGACTAAAGTAATAAGAAGTGCTGGGAAATAAATAAACAAGAGAGAAAGGTGGAAGTGGGGAGAAACCACCTTGTCCTCTCTAAAGAAAGAGACATTTAAGATAAAAACAGGAATCAGAAGCCCAGCCGGTGTGGCTCAGTGGTTGAGTATCAACCCATGATTCCTCATCAGAGCACATCCCTGGTTGCAGGCTCGATCCCCAGTAGGGGGCGTGCAGGAGGCAGCCGATCAATGATTCTCCCTCATCATTGATGTTTCTATCTCTCTCTCCCTCCCCTTCCTCTCTCCGAAATCAATAAAAACATATTTAATAAAAAACAAGAACCATAAGGCATCATCATGGGGGGATCTGTGGAAAGACGCTCCGGGTAGAAGGAATCGCATATGCAAAGTCTGGGGAGCTGGAGTAACCTCGGTGTGTTTAAGGAACAGAGATGAGGCCAGGCTGGCTGAGCCTGGGGCAGGGAGCGGGGTGGGAGTGGAGAGTGGCAGGGCCCGTTGTGAGGCCATAGAAGCAGCTTGCGTTTCAGTCCGAGTGCAACGGGATCCGTGGAAGGGGTTTATGTAAGGAGGGGTGTGCTCTGGTCTGGGCCTTTAAGCCATCCCTCCGAGGGTGGGAGGGAGGTGGGTGGAGGGGCAGGGGTGGGGCAGGGAGGGCCACCTGAGGCTGGAGAAATGGGCTGGCCGAGGCTGGGATGCTGGTGGAGGTGAGAAGGGAGTGAATTTGAGATAAATTGTAGAGGCCAGAAGAGCCAGGCCTTGTATTGGCCCAAGGCCACCCCACCCACTTCCGCCAAAACCCTTCCTGCACCCACACAGGTGGACAGAGCTGCCCTGGCCTCTGGGGTCACATGTGATCATGCCCTCTCCTCACTCCCTGTTTAAAGCTGTCACAGTGGGTTGATGTCCTTTGTCTTCTCACCTCTCCGCCCCCCTCACTGTGGGGCTACTTCTGATCAGAATGCCAAGGCCACCCGCAGCACACACCCCAGTGACCACCCTCCTCCACCCTCTCACCTGTTCCCCAGTGACCACCCCTCCTCCACCCTCTGACCTGTTCCCTAGTGACCACGCCTCCTCCACCCTCTCACCTGTTCCCCAGTGACCACCCCTCCTCCATCTTCTGACCTCTTCCCCACTGACCACCCTCCTTCACCCTCTCCCCTGTTCCCCAGTGACCACCCTCCTCCACCCTCTCACCTGTTCCCCAGTGACCACCCTCCTCCACCCTCTCACCTGTTCCCCAGTGACCACCCCTCCTCTACCCTCTCACCTGTTCCCCAGTGACCACCCAGACTTGCTCCCTATTCCCAATTCCCTTCACCTGTGCCTATAGCCCAGCGCCTGTCACCAGCTGCCCACGTGCCTCTGGCTGGAAGCCCTTGGGGATTGGCAGCCGGGCCCACCTGGGCACCATCCTGTGGGCAGATGGAGCCTCGCTGAGTCGAGAGGACTTGCGCTAAGTGGCAGCGCTGGTAGATTCAAACTAAGGTCCATCTGGCCCCAGAGTCACAGCTGCCTCCACACGCCAGCGTCCTTCCTCTGGACACTCCCGGGGAGCGCCCACCAGGCAGTGGGTGGTAACTGGGCTGGCCTCCATCAGCAGGGGCTGGGGCAGAGCAGCACCCCCCCGTGCCTGGGACATACACCCAGGCTGGTGGTAATGATGGTGGTGATAGAGGACTCCATCAGCCTCTGGAGTCTCAGCTGTCCTCCCTGTAAAGCTCAGCTCCCTTCTTGCCTGCCTCACAGGCCCTTGTGAATACATGATGTGGATGGGCAGGCTCTCTAGGACCCATGGAGGTGGATGTCCAAGCGTGCATGGAGCCAGCTAAGCCATCCCCAGGGGCTGCCACACCCACCCTCTCTCCACATCACTACTATCTCTACCACCATCATCACCACCACGATCACCAACACCATCACTATTACCATCATCTCCATCAACATAACCTCCATTGACGCCATCACCATCACCTCCATCGACACCATCACCACCACCTCCATCAACACCATCACCATCACCTCCATCAACACCATCACCATCACCTCCATCAACACCATCATCATCAGCTCCATCGACACCATCACCACCATCACCATCACCTCCATCACCATCACCTCTATCACCACCACTACCACCATCACCTTCATCACCATCACCTCTATCACCACCATCATTACCACCATCACAATCACCACCATCACCATCACCTCAATCACCATCACCTCCATCACCATCACCTCTATCACCACCATCACCTTCATCCCCATCACCTCTATCACCACCATCACCATCACCTCTATCACCACCATCATTACCACCATCACAATCACCACCATCACCTTTACCTCAATCACCATTACCTCCATCATCACTATTATCACCACCATCACCCCTATCATCATCACCACCTCCATCACCACCATCACCATCATCTCCATTACCATCATCTCCATCACCACTATCACCACCATCACCACCATCACCATCATCTCCATTACCATCATCTCCATCACCACTATCACCACCATCACCACCATCACCATCATCTCCATCACCTCCATCACCACTATCACCACCACCATCCACCATCACCTCCATTACCATCACCACCATCATCACAGCATCATGGAGGCTCTATGTCTGACCGTGCCAGGCAATGGGCAAAGGGCTTTCTATGCATTGTCTATTTCGATTCCCACACAGCCCCATGATGTACGGGCCATGGTGATTCCTACTTACAGGGAAGGAGACTGGGGCCCAGGGAAGTCCAGCAG